AAAAGACTTGCAACTAGAAATCATCAGGAAAATCTTTACTGAGGTAAAAAACATGTGAGAAGTTGGGACATTTTCTCATAGACTTCTATAAAAGTAGATATTGAAATGGAAAGTAGATGTTAAGGAACACTTGGAGCTAGAGATGGATACCATGAACTCATCAGGAAAATGTTTACTTAGGTTACAACTAAATAATGTAAGAGCGTTAACGTTGGTTAATTTTCTCATAGACTTCTATATCGCAGTTGAGTGGTCCCACAGCGGGAACGTTGACATCTTTCTTAAAGTCACAAAGCTGACACATCTAGAACATTCAGCCCTTTCTGAATCCCCCGACTATACGGCTTAGTTTTGATATTTTAACCGGAAGTTGTATTCAAACATCAAAAGTATAAAGCTACTGTATATCCCTCCAAGATCTCTTCAGGAAAAGGTTTGCTGATGAAAAAAAAAATGTGAGAAGTTGGGACATTTCCTCATAGACTTCTATAAAACGTAAAAGTAGATTTTGAAATAGAAAGTAGATGTTAAGGAAGACTTTGAACTAGAGATGGATACCATGAACTCATCAGGAAAATTCATACTGATGTGAGAAGTTGGGTCATTTTCTCATAGACTTCTATAAAATCGGACCTATCGCATTATGGTCATTACAAAGAAATGCTTGTTTTTGGTACTTTTGCGCATTTTCTTAAAAGTAAAAGTAGATATTGAAAGGGAAAGTAGATGCTGAGGAAGATCTGAAACTAGAGATGAATACCATGAACTCATCAGGAAAATGTTTACTGAGGTAAAACACAACACGTTGGTTAATTTGCTCATAGACTTCTATAAAATCTGACTTTTTGCATTATGGTCGTTACCAAGGATACAGGTTTTCTGCTTTTTGTCAAATAAGTAAAAGTAGATATTGAAATAGACGGTAGATAATGAGAAATAATTGAAAGTAGAGTTTAAAAAAACATGTGAAAGTCGGGTCATTTTCTCATAGTCTTCTATAAAATCATCAAAACTTCTTCGCTTGATGGTCATTTCAAAGAATAAAGATTTTGTGCATTTCCTCAAAGGTAAAAGTTGAAACTAGTGTTTACTAAGTGTTCATTGAAGTGTAAACAACACAAGGGTCCATCACTCACAGTCTATTGTCATGCTGTACACTGTGTATGTTATTATTAGTTGTATCTGCAAAGCGTCAGATGGTGAATGCTAGAGCCTCAAAACTACATAGTTATAAAGTAATTTGATAAATTACCCATTGTTGGTTTGACAAATGGAAGGAAAAAGGCAATTAAAGCCAAATCCCAGTGAAGTCTTTTCAATTTGCAAAAGCAATAAAAACTGTATTTTAGAAAATGAAAGCAATCATTTCTTGGTACTTTTCTTGTTTAACGACTGCAATCAACAATTATCATTATTCTTGGTTCCCTTGTTGTCCAACCACTTATATGTTAAAGGGATTTTTGTTTGATTTTAGACGTTAAACTGCTTGTCTTTGTGTTTTCTGGAAACTTGGCTGAACATTTGAATTTGCATTTCTTGCTAGAGTCACATTTCCACATGTTCAGTGCCCAGCTGATGAGATTTCCCTCTCCCACAGGACTTGTAACGCTGTCATCTGCAGCTTTACAAAAATATAACCACGTTTTAGGCCCAATTTGGCTCTCCGTGGGGTCATGAGACCTATAATAGCGGTAATAAAGCAGCATTGTTAAAAGCCGGCGATGACAGTGTTGTGAGTCCTTTGGGAGGAATGAATCCCAAAGTACACGAGAAACCATTCTGCGTTTATTCTGCAAGACCATCCTCCGATCGTCCCCAGACTGCATAATTACATCGGGAAAATAAAATAATGAAGGCTCCGATTGTCCCTGGAGATCGGGCCGATGTTTCCTGTCAGCATTTAAAATCTGATTCCTCTCAAACGCTGAACGATGATTCAATTAAAGCACCAGAAAACAGGGCTGTTCACTGGTTTAACATCCTCACTACAGGATGGACACTCCCAAGTATTCTGGTTATTAATCAATGGACATCTTCCTCTTATAATGTATTCATCTCAGAAGGAATCACATCTGACTTCCATATGCAGCTCTCTTTGTCACCATCAAGGGGCCAACATCTGATCAGCTCATTTTCACACAGGTTTTTATAGAAATGGATCAAAAAGAGAGAGAATCTTTGTTCCTGAAACTTTCAGAGTCTCTTTCCACAGAGGGGACACATGTTGATGTAGAAGAGACATGAAGAAGAGGGGACACATGTTGATGTAGAAGAGACATGAAGAAGAGGGGACACATGTTGATGTAGAAGAGACATGAAGAAGAGGGGACACATGTTGATGTAGAAGAGACATGAAGAAGAGGGGACACATGTTGATGTAGAAGAGACATGAAGAAGAGGGGACACATGTTGATGTAGAAGAGACATGAAGAAGAGGGGACACATGATGTAGAAGAGACATGAAGAAGAGGGGACACATGTTGATGTAGAAGAGACATGAAGAAGAGGGGACACATGTTGATGTAGAAGAGACATGAAGAAGAGGGGACACATGTTGATGTAGAAGAGACATGGAGAAGTGGATTTTGCATAATAGGTGACCCTTAAATGGTTTATCTGGAGTGAACTCACCCCCTGGCGCTGGCAGACGTCGAGCACCATCAGGACGTTTTGACACACGTGATCCACGGCGGCGTTCCCGAACACGCAGGTGAGCGCCAGGACGTCGATGTTCGGAGCGGCGAGCGCCATCATGACGGCCTGAGCATCGTCGATCCCACAGTCCGTGTCGATGATCACCTTCTTCCTGTCCGCCATGGTGTCCTGGAAACAAACATAATACATCTGATTAAATCACAGCATTGGCGGACTGGATCAGGGGGGCCATTTGGGGGACAAAAGAGACAAAGACAGTGTTGAAGATTTGAATTTTTTGTTGGGTATAAAGTCATAGAAAATAAAGAAAAACATGATTGGTATTTGTTTCAGTTACAAAGTTTGTGTTAGTATCTTAGTTAAAATGTCATTACAGAAGCGGTAGCTGGAGAGGAGCCAGTCCACGTCCTGGCGCTGGTCAGACTGGCAACCTATCTGCTCTGGCCAGGGTTCATGCACTTTTTCACCAATGATTTTCAATGACTTCTCCAGGACCTTTACCTCATTTTCCATGACCAAAAACATTACTCTTTCTCAGCGGTACCTCTGAAACATTTTTATTTTAACATGGAACAGGAAAATAAGGTCTGCATATGAAACATGTCGAGCCTCTAAAACAAATCAAATAGGCTCACTAGCTTCTACACGCTAAAGCAACTCAAATCTCTCACCAGCAAAACACCTCGTCAGTTAAATGCCATTTCACATTTGATTACTATACCATAAAGTATTTATCATCATTATAGTATTACTATTTCGGCGATTAGATAAAAATAAATGATATTTGATGCAACTTTACATTTCCATGACTTTTCCAAAATTTTGGGAAACATATTGTTTTCCATAACTTTTCCAGGGCCTGGAATTAGCATTTTGAATTTCCATGACTTTTCCAGGTTTTTAATGACCGTAAGAACCCTGTCTGGCACCTCTCTTAATGCAGTGTGTTTACTTGTGTGTATTTGTACTGTGTGTGTATTGAAAAATGCTTGTGTGCTGTGTGTGTATTAAAATATGTATAAACGTTGATACAAGTGGAAAACTGAATTTCCTCCTAGGGGGATTAATACAGGTTAATCTTGATCTTCTAAATTACTATTTAAAAGTAAATAAATGTTTTCATAGACTCTTCTTTTGGAGGGGGGCCACAGGGGGTCAAAGGTCAGTGTTGCAGGGGCACTGGACCCTGTAAGCCGTTATAAGTAACTTATCAGCAGTTCGGACGACTGCAACACGGTAATACAAGATTTTGAGTTTCTTTTGATTGCTAATAATAAGATTGCAAACAAATGTAATACAAAAAGTAATTGTAACTTTCATTGGGATATCTAGTAGTATGTGTTACCTATTCACCTGTAGTGTGTACACAATCTGTGAATTTCTCTAACTTTGGGAGCACTTACACACACCAAACTTTCCAGTCTAATTCCTATTTATATTCTTATGCTTATCACAGAGGGCTTTGTTCACACAGCTTTTACAGCCTGATTTATAGAGAGTTTTGTTGCTAAAGAACAAGTTCTTAAAACTGAATTTGGGGCGTGGCTCTATCCAATGTTGTAATAATAAAGCATACAACACATATGATTTCAGAACACTTGTAATACAAAAAACAATTGTGTTGATGTCAGTAATCACTTGGGAAGTCTTATGGTGATATCTATTAGTAATTAGTTTTACACTTCTTATCTGTAACTTCTCTCATTAACACTACAGGTGGAAAAGCTTTGAAAACATGCAAGAAACCTACATATTATAGTGAGATATGTCTTCTATAACTAACCTACTAACAACTTCCTTCAGTGCGTTCATACAAACATCTGTGCAGATAGTTGTGTAACTTTGTCGTTCTTTTCACACCCACTTACCATAAACTACAGACAACTGGATTAATACAAAAACCACATGTTCATTTACCAAATAGTCAGGAAGTGTGTGTTCTAGTAAAGCTGGCACGCGACTTAGTATTACAAAAGTATAAGAAGTTATTGAAAAATTATTGTCTTTTTAAAAAGATTTTTCAGACTTACCTTCAGTCTGTAAAATGAGGTTTACAGAGACACTAAAAGCGCTCCTGTGATTGGTTTAAACTGTTGGATCATTACATGTTTCACTAACACGAGATGTAGCCAGCATTCATAAAAACGACAACATGGATATTTAAAATATATTTCATGTTATAGAATAATACACACCAATCAGTAAGTTACTACAGTTCCGATTGTGTATGACTACATATTTTACTTTTTTTTTAAAAACGTTGTTATCCATCTTTAACTATTTCTGAACACCCCTGTGTCCTCTCAGAATGGTGCAGTCCTGTAAAGCTGCACCGGAAGGGAGGTTTTGGCTCAGCATGGAGGCCGTGTCGGATTTGTTATGATCGTTTCGTGTTTATCTTGTGTTAAGCTAATGTGCACCTGTAGTTAAGGATGTGTGGGTGACATGTTAAAGATTTAAACCTCAGTTCGGGCCTAAAACAAGAGGAGATGTGAGGATAGATAGTCATGAAATAGCAGCTGGGCGTGTTTACAGTACAGCTGTTAGTGTTAATGCTCAGGTGAGTTACTGTCTATCTGCAGGAGGATGAAGGATAGTTATCAGAGGTTAAAGGTTAGATTTGAGGATGCTGTGTAATGTGGCTGTGGGTTATGTTATGCTGCTTTATTAAGGCAAATACAAGATGTGCTTCTGAATCAAATTAGACAAAAAAAAGAAGTGATATGTTCTTTATTAGACAGTAAAGAAACTGAAACATTGATTTAATTTGGTGTTATGACCAAACAACACCGTTTTTTTTACTATTCTTTTTGTTGTTGCATGGGCAGAATATGAGACATGCAAAATGCTTTACTTAGAAGCAAGATACACTGATTATAAGCCTCTATTTGTTGTTTATTTGTATGTCAATTTGTGGTCATTGTATGTCTTGTTGTAATTGCTTTGTGTCTTTGTAGTCATTTTGTGTATTATTTAGCTAATTGTGTGTCTCTTGGTTGTCATTTGTTTATCTTTGGGGTCAATTTGGGTATTTTTGTAGTGTTTTTGTCCGTGGCTGTTTTGCCACTTTTCATAGTTTTTGGTAGGGATGTCCCGATCACCTTTTTTTGCTCCCGATCCGATTCCGATCATTTGATTTTGACAATTTGCCGATACCGATTTTTCCCGATCCGATCTTTATGCAATGCATTAAGAGAAAAAAAAGAAAAAAAGCATTCAAGTTCCCTTAAGGTTATTTTTTTATTTAAATTGGATATTCTATCCAACATGGATATAGCTTCTTTTTTTCACAGCAGCATTGGATCAGTTCAGTTGTGCAGCATTGGATCAAAACAAAATCAAGCTTTCAGTACTCGTTAGCTTACTGCTACAATTAGACACTGCGCCCTGCCCACTCTGTTGCCAGATTTGAGAGAAATAAGCAACCAGGTCTATGAAAACAAGCCCCAAAGAAGCAACACATACATGATGTTGTGTCATTTGAAACCAAAACTAAGGCCTCAGGATGACTTTAAGACTTGAACATGGTCATTTTTGTTTTGTAACATTGAATACAACATTTAAAAAAAAGAAAAAAAAGAAATCCCGATCCCCGATTTTTTTCTCCCGATTCCGATCTTTTGAAAATCACGTGATCGGATCGGGACATCTCTAGTTTTTGGTTTTCTTTGCACCTGTAGTTGTTATGATCATTTTATGTTTCTTTATTACTCATTATTTAGTTATTTTGTATTA